GAGAGAGAGAGAGAGAGAGAGAGAGAGAGAGAGAGAGAGAGAGAGATCTTCCTGCACTGGCAGTGGGGAAGATCAATCGGATACATTGATTCCTTGTCCATTCATTCATTCATTCACTCATTGTCGTTATCTTGATTAATTAATAAGAGGAGAGGAGCTTATGTGAGGAATAGTGATGGAGATGAGTTGAGGAGGCAGATGACGTTGGTTCAATCGTGTCTTCTTCTTCTTCTTCTTCTTCTTCTTCTTCTTCTTTTCGTCTTCTTCTTTCTCATTCTTCTATCTCCTTTCGTCTCATCCACTTCTTCTCGAGTTGCTATGAATGGCATTGCCTCATAGTTGAATTTCACATCATTCATTGAATGGGATCTTAGCAGTATCCTTTTTTTCTTTTCTTTTCTTTTCTATTGGTATTCGGTGATATAGTCTTGATTTTTTGTGATCCATCTTCCCTTTCTTTTGGTCCATCCCTACATTTCGATTGGGTTGAAATCCAAAGCAGCCCATGACTGTTGTCCATGCGTCACACGGTTAACCTTTTCCCTCAGTATTGGGTGGAAGACTGCCGCCTCCGTCCTTAGCTGGGTCTACAGATTGTGGCTTATTCGATCTGGTTCTGTCCGGACTTCTCCTCAGAAACCTGAAGATCCTGCCTTGGGATTGAGCGGTAACCTGAAGCACCAGTACATGGCCCCAGCCAAGTTGAGAACCTGATTGAGCCTCTCCTAAAACTTAGGAGGCTCCTGGACCACCGATCAAATAAATCGGCGCCGGGTGGGGCCGCCAAAGGGGGGCCACGACCGATAGCTGGCATGTACTGGTGGTTTAAGACTCAAACATGCTCTGTGACAGGACCGCCTTGTATAATGCTCCTCAAACGGGCGGGTGTTGTCCTTTTTCTTTCAACTGTTAAGTAATAAGTATGCGTATCTGCAATGCATTGTGACAGAGAACAGAAAGGGAGGGTACAGGGAGATTTTTCTGGGGAGAAGTAGTAGATCCGGCGCCCTCCCCCGCCCCCCTGTAGATTTCCTTGCCCCCCAAAACGGGCCAGGTCATGCAGTCCACCCCCTGAAAAAACTTCGTTTCATTCTTTCACCCCGCTGTCAGTCCCAAATGGTCTACCGACCCTACCTGTCCCACCGTCCTTACCGGCCCTAGCTTTCCCACTGTCCCTTCCATCCTACCGCTCCCACTGTCCCTACCGCTGACCACCCCCATCGTTCCTGCCGTCCTAGACCAGGGTTCGTCTTTTTCTTCTTTGATGAGGAATCATATTAACTGATGAGAGCAGATGCTATACTCGATGTTAGCTGAAAGGGTGAGAAAGGTATAGCTAAACCAGGGTTTAAAAATGAAATGAAGTTCCTTTGGGGGGGCGGACTACGTAACCTGACCATTTTGGGGGCAAACAAATGTAATTCTTTTGAATGGAGGGCATTGGTTACTTTTCCCTTTTTTTTTTTTTGCCGGACTGATAACGGCAAACCGTAGGCATAGAGGGAAAGAAGGACAACAAAACGAGGGGGTGTGACAAACTGTTTCGTCGGAGTTTCACCGACTCATCAGGAGGCTGAACCCTCTACGGTCTGCAGAGTCCTCTAACTGATTGCACTGTAAGTGATAATCCACCTTAACCCCAGTCGTGGTTAAGCATCAACGACTGATACCTTGAGGTGGGCACCAACCACTGCCCTCAAGGTACCCATGATGAAAATCAAAGCAGATTATCACTCACCCACACCAGATGGAAAACTCTACAGACCGCAGGTTCACACCCCATCAAAAGCCAGCAAAACACCCACGAAACAACGAAAGGTCTATCACAGCCAAATATATATACAGCCTCCTGATGAGTCGGTGAAACTTCGACGAAACATTTTGTCACAGCCCCTCGTTTCTTGTCCTCTTCTCCCCCTCCCTCTTTGCCCGGTATCGTCAAACGGAGCTGCCTGGTAAACCGTAGGCAGAGAGGGAGGGGGAGAAGAGGACAAAAAACGAGGGGCTGGGACAAACTCTTTCGTCGGAGTTTCACCGACTCAGCAGGAGGCTGAACCCTCTATCCCTATTACACATCGATGTCAGATGGCATCGCATCATGGGCAATCCATGCTGGACAGTTCCATGGGGCCATTCAGCATTTTCGCTGGTGATGTGTAGTGGCTTCGGCGGTGTTGAATTATGTGGAGTGGCGGTTACCCAGCATTGTTTTTGCATCCAGGACCTGCATCGCCTTGATGTCTTGGTCCTGACTGGCTCTGTGGACTGGGGGTGGTTCTCTCCTGGCCCACAAATCTCCTTGATTTCTTGGCCCTGACTGGCTCTGTGGACAGGGGGTGGTTCTCTCCTGGTCCACAAATCCATATGTGAATGCAACAATCGGCCATGAACCAATCCTTTCTGCCACTCACTGCAAATCTCTGCAGTCCCTTTACCATGGGTGACACGCTGTCAAGCACTCTATTGGCCTCGCTCTGCTACTCACCGAATGTGCAAAATGGGAATGAATCTTCCGCTAGAACATGGGAAGATTCACCACCGTATTTTTTTGTCTTTTGTGCATGTGGTGAGTAGTGGAGCACGGCCCTACAACCCGTTGTTGTGCATAACAGTCTAAACCACCATTCCATCCAACGTTGCCGTTCATCCGTTTTCATATACGAGGACCTCCCCTGGGCCTCCCCTGGGCCTCCCCTGGGCCGTTTCGACCGCTAAAGGGACGGTAGAGCAACTGATGGACAGTAACTTCGGACCCCTAAATGTCTGTGGGAGGGGCCCAGACTTGTCAATAATACAGTGGCCCGGTACTGGTACCGTGTTGATTTTTCCCACGGCCGGTACCGGTCACCTTAGGCTCGGCGAAATGCATTTTTTGGTTCGTCAATTTGCCTTTGGATGGACTGGTGGTTTATAGGCACTCTACTCTCTCATGGCTTTTTTTTTTTTTTTTTTTTTGCCCTCATGGTGTATTCTGCAATGCTCGAGCCTCAATGATAGTTTACAATCTGTAGAGTGTGTAGTTGTTCCAGCAAACGGCAAGGCTGTTTTTCTTTTTGATATCGGTCTCTAAGGTGGCCATCAGGACCAATGGCCTACAACACTCCAAAAGGTGTTCGACCTTCTTTTTTATTTTTTTTATGTTCTAATCCATGACAGCTCTGTTTTAGGCGCCTTTCCTTAAGTGGACATGGGCCACTTGCTTTGATTTGGGTGGATTTCAATAGTGCCACGGATCTGAAAAGTAACGATAAGAATAGTGAGCCCAATAGCAGATTCTGCAGCAGCTGCTCTGAGACCTGCGACCTATGCTCTATGAAGTTCGAGCTCCATCACACAGTGCTCTGTCCTGTATGACAGACAGACAGACTCAGACAAACATGTCTGAGCCCGACAACCGTGATTCACAGCGAGGATTGTGTAGCAGGCCCAACAGGAGAAGAGGGAGAACATGTTTATATGCACATACAGAAAGAGCAAGACGGAGAGAGAGAGAGAGAGAGAGAGAGAGAGAGAGAGAGAGAGAGAGAGAGAGAGAGAGAGAGAGAGAGAGAGAGAGAGAGAGGCAGACGCACAGGGAGAGACAAGCAGGCAGAAAGATGGGCAGAAAGAGACAGATGTTATGACCCTGGCCAATTTTGAGATACATATCCACCGGAAAGTACAATGCCATCCAATTGCAGAAAGAAATGAATGAACTTGAGAGGAGAGAGAGAGGATTAGAAGAAGAAGAAGAAGAAGAAGATGTACATTGTACACCAGCAAAGACAATGACAAGGCTCTTCTTCTTTGCCCAACAATCTCCTCCTCCTTATCTCCAAGAGAAGGCGCCGGATTAGGAGAGGAGCAATTTGCGTACTTGTCGCGAAACTTGGGGTCGGCTTGGTATCCGCGGATGAAGCTGTTCCGCAGGTCATTGTCGATCTCGAAGGTTGAGTAGACTGCGGTACAATGATCCGGACGCCGTGAAAGAGCATCCGCAAAACGGTTCGACTTCCCGGGAATGTGATCGGGAAAGAAGCCGAACTGGTCGATGAAACCCATCCATCAAGCGATGGTGCTGTTGACGGTGTCTTGGGTCTTGTAAAAGACCAACGGATTGTTGTCCGTTACCCATCAAAATTGGCTTCGACCAAGGAGGAAGTGCAGCCACCGCTTGAGCGCGTGGACGAAGGCGAGGAGCTCCTTCTTGCGTGCATCGTCAATGGAATGCACGACGGGCACTTTCTTGCTGAAATACTCGACCGGGTGCCAGTCCACACCATCATGTTGCTCGAGGACTGCACCAATGCCATAGCCTGACGCATCCGTGGTGACGCGCGTAGGCAAAAGCGGGTCGTATATCCGCAAGACCTCTGCAGACAATAGTGCGGCTTTGAGAGCCAAAAATGATTCCCGCGCCTCCTCTCCGAAGTCAAACGGCCGATCCAGTTCGCAGATATAGTCTCCATATACAGTTCGCAGATATAGTCTCAATATACAGTTTGCAGATATAGTCTCCAAGACTCCCAATAGGCAGTGCGATCAAGTCTCAGTAGACAGTTCAGGAATATAGCAAGTGCGAGTAGAAGAAAAAACAGGCGCTGTGTTACATGCTGCGCCTGCACACGAGGGCCATTTTCCAGGCCCTGCGTCCCTCAGGCTAAAAGCCTGAAATTCAGGCTTAAAGCCTGAAAATCAGGGCCTACAGGCCCCGTGACTGTTCAGCCCGAAAGCCTGAAAACAGGGGCCTACAGTCCCTGTGTCGTTTCAGACTAAAAATGGCAACAGCCTTTTTAGCCTGAAACGAAGGGCCATTTTCGGTCGTTCATCAGAACGACGGGCCCTGAAACTCAGGCACCGAACCAGGGTTTCGGGAACAGGCTATTCTTAGCCTGTTCCCCACGCCAGCCTCAGCAGCTGCTGCAGCGCCAGCCCTTGGCACACTTCGGCATTGGCAAGAGCAGCCTCCTCGACCGGGCTCGCCCTTCAGGCAGTCAGGAGGCAGGTCGAGGAAGTACATAGGGACTTCCCATGCACTTCACAAGGGCAGGAGGAAGTTGTAGTCTTCAGGATTCGGGAGCAGCACTCTGGAGGGAGCGCTGCAGGGAGTAGTAGTAGCGTTAGCCTTTAGTCTTCAGCGCTGGGCGCAGTAGGTAGCTGTAGTCTCCAGCGCTGGGCACCATAGCTAGGATAGCACTAGAGAGAGGGAGAGATTGGGCGGAGGCCAGAGGTACTTACCTGCAGCGCCGTTGCCCCAGCTTCGTCTTCGAGGTACCTGCAGCACAGCGCCAACATCACAGGTTAGTATCTGGCTCGTAACAGAGAGAGAGAGTTCTTCTTCTTCCTCTTCTCAGTCCACCATCTCCTTCTCCCCCTCTCATCATCTGACTTCACTGCATCTGCAGACTACGAGAGAAGAGAGACAAAGCTTGGTGACATCGGACCCAGACTCGACTTTTGGACTTTAGACATTACAACGAGGGATTATTTGGGACTTGTGACAAAGACTTGGTGTTGACGACATTCCCATCTCTCTCCCTCCTTTCGTCTGATTCCCTCCTCTTCATCTGTGTATGTCTGGACCTGGCGCTTTCTTCCTGTGTACAGCGCCAGGCTCCTTCACACTTGGTGATGGATACGATGTATGTTTGGTCTGCATTCAAACATTGATTGGGCTAGTCATTAGCATTCTAGCATTCTGCTTCGCTATCTTTTGCTACGTGAATGAGGTCAGTCCCGGTCAGGTCAGGACTTGTATCTAAATCTTCCACTGTGCTATTCAGCACCATTTTGTATGTATGAGAATGCACAATGCTCATTGAGATTCTACTTGCACTGCATTGTCCATTCAGTCCTTTTTATCACACTGCGGATCCTCGGTTATGATGTACATCGCTCATCTGGGCATGTAACAGTTGGTATCGGTGCACCGCACGTGAATCAGGACAACCTGATCTGACACGTGTGCGGGGACTAAATAGCTGACTAGTCTTTACTGATTGATTAGAGCACATTATCCCAAAGTCACGATTTTGACCTTACTACCGAAAATGGATTTTTTTTTCTTTTCTTGGATTTTGTTTTCTCGCTATTCTGTTGTGGAAAATCGCATTAGTGCAACATCTGAAGTTTCCATTTTCGTTTTTCTTCTGAAAATTCAAAATTTCGTTGTTGAAAATCCGGAATATCCTTCTTTTCAAAAATTTCGATTTCCTGTTGCATTTCCCGTACTTAGAAATTCAGAATATCTTCTTTTCCGAAATTCGTTTTTCTGAAAACGGTACGGGAAATCCCTCCTGCAGGTATTATTTTCCAAACTGCGAATATTCTCATCTGGGAAAATCCAAATACTTCTCATTTCTTTTCGGATTTTTTTTTTCGCAGTTCTAGGATTCTGTTAGTCAGTTTTATAATCATTTGCAGTCTGAAGCCGAATTTTTTTTCCTCTCATTGATCATTTCGAACTTCAAAGGAGGCCAGGAGACCTACTGAACTTGCAAAAGTCGGGATTTTTTTTATTTTTTGAATTTTATTTTTGCAAGTTCAAACTTTTCTTTTTTGATTAGTGGCTCCTTATCTGGGCGATTCTTCCCACCCACCCTCCCCATCAATGTTGTTGCCCCCTCTAGCCTTACCTTCTCTACCTATCTCCGGGTACCCCTTGCGACGACATTGGTAAGTTGCCACGTCAGCAGATTATGTCAGCAGGACACGCCAGCAGACCACGTCAGCAGGCCACGTCAGCAGGCCACGTCAGCAGGCCACATCAGCGGACAGAGCAGGAATACCACGTCAGCAGGCCCCCGGCCTGGTACATGCTGTTGCGGTCACAGACAGCCGTCATGGACCAGAGGCCCGGTGAAGCAGACGAGGCCTATCAGGCCCGGATGCTGGCTTGGAATACCGAGACAAAGAAACGGGCAGATGACGTAGCTGCAGCAGCGAAGAAGAAGGCAGAGGATGTCGAGCAGGCACGTCTGCTGACACTTGAACAACAGCGCCAGCATGACGAGGCAGCAGCAAGGGCTGCTGATGAAGAAAGGAACCAACGTCGTGAGAAAATATTTAGCGGAGAGCAGACCTTGTTCACAATGGCAGCGAAATGGCGGACCAAGGCTGAGAATGGAAAGTTGGAGGATTGCGAAAACAAGATCGCTCTCCTCTCGCATCTCACAGACCTCCTGGCTACATGCATTACGCAGCAGGAGGATATCCACAACCTCGACGGCTCGCTAGCTAAAGTACAAGGCCGCCTTCAGCAGCTGGAGCAGCGACCTGTTGCCGCACCCGATGCAAGCTCTTCCAATACCTCTGATCGCCTCGAAGCATTGGAGATGCACGTCGGCTCCCTCCAGGACGACGCACAGTTACAGCAGACCGCGACGCAACAGTTGCAGCAGCGGATCTGTGCCACCGCCAATACCTCGAGTCCGGAGCCACGCGAGACAACTCCAAAGTTTGACGGGCAAGAGATCTTCTGCCACTCGATCAAGACAGATCCGATTCCATGGTTTCGCAAGTTCGAGCTCACGCTGCAGCTCCACAACGTCAAAGAACACAAGCACCACACATACTTGTACTCTCGCTCAGCGGCCGCGTGCCAGGCTTGGTTGGACAACCTCTTATCCAAGTACGGAGTGGTAGCTGCCGACTTGCACACCAAGATCAGTTGGGATGATCTGAAGGCCGCGTGGCACAAGCGGTTCCAGGTTGAGCTGTCGGAGATCAAAGCTATGGACAAGCTCATGGTCTTCGAACAAGGCACGGTGCCGAGTACCGACTGGATCGCCGAGTACCAACGCTTGACGTCAGTCCCAGACATCCAGATGGGCTTCAAAGCCACCCGCCACTACTTTATCTCAAGGTCATGTCCGACATTAAGCAATGCCATGACTCATGTTGAGGACACCTTGACGACAACGGCGGAACTTTTTGACAAGGCCGCGCAGATCATCATTACGAACAAGGAGGCGAAGAATCTGCGTTCGTCTGCGGCAGGCCCGAGCAGGGACCAGCATCGGCCAAGAGTGGCCGTGGTCGCAGCGGCAACGCCATTGGACCAAACCAGCGAGGTTGTGTCTGCTAGTGAAGGAGACAGACTTGCAGCCGCCCAGGAAGGTGCCCGCCCCGGCAGAGGCCGAGGACGCAGCAAGACGAAGACACACACCGCATCTAGCCCCGGGCCCGGTGCAGTAGCTCCAACAGCCCCATGGACCCAATACGACATCTCCGAGCTAGCATTCAAGGCGCGCACGAGATTCTACTATTGCCTATGGTGCAACAATGATCTTCATCAGACACTGGTCTGCCCATTGAAAGGCAAGGGCAAACAGGGAAACTGAGCACCGCCGAGAGTGACTCGACAACACTCTCGACGCCTCCGGAACCGGTTTCTTCGCGAGTAACCGGCCTTCATTCTGAGGCGCACATGGAAGTCGATAGTCCTCCTCTTCTACTTTCTTTTGAGGACTATGCTGCCCGGCTCGTTCCTACGCTGGGTACTCAAGCTCAAGGACAAGAAGTGTGTGCGGTTTCTTCTCCGTCCGGCAGTGGCGACATATCGTCTTCAAGCTGTCTCTTATACACATCTAGATGTGTATAAGAGACAGGCACTATGCGCTCATCTCCACACTTACTTATCCTTCTATGCACCACCAACTTCGCCGACGGGAGACGAAGTCGCGGCGGGGGACATCCTTGCGTATACTACCAGTCCTTTGACTTTTTTGGCTGATCATTTTACGACTCCGAGTGAGTGTGATGTTGAGGAAGAGTGGGTTTTTGTTGGGGGCTAGGAGGGGGGTTTCTAAAAACAAAATCACACCCCCTTGCATGCTAGAGGCATCAAAGTAAGAAAATCAAAGCATGTAGGTGCTTACTACTTACATAATACATAATCATTTGTTAAAATAATCTAAGTGCTTACTACTTACATATACATAATCATTTTTAAAAATAATCTAAGGCAAATGTTACTTTTGCCATGTATTGGAGGCAATCTCTGCAGGCATTCTCACACTAGGACTTATTGTACTACACTTTGGACACTCTTTTAGTCAGATTCATTCAGGTCTCACCGTAATTGCAGTCAGATACATTTAGAAAAGTCCCCCCCCCCCCTAGTGTGAGTGTGGCCTGGATCCATTTTCAGAAAGCACACACTTGAAGTCTACGTTTCTGCCAAACAAGGACCAGATGGCGGATCATTTACAAAGAATTAAGTCCTTTGAAGAATGTAGCAATCGAAAGAAACCAGAATCAGACCAAAACAGTAATCCAAGGCGCATCTCAAACCCCTTCTTCTCTCAGTTTCAAATGTCCCAGAGCATATGCCTGTCCAATCCCTCTGTTACCCTTCATCTGAGCACTTACATCCCTTGCTCCACCTTAGTCCCTCGGCATCCCTAATATTCCTATAACTCAGCAATAAGTCATACATCCTCCGCATCCAGCTCCTCTGATTACTCTCCCATTGAATGGTACTTATACCCCCTTCTTTCTTCCTCTCTCCGGTAGCTCCCTTCTCAGCAAGCTCTCCCCAATCCCCATCGAACAAAAAGCAAAAAACAATTCACCAGGAAGGTACGGTATGGCGGTAACCAGGTAGCATGGCGAAGGGCGACTCGATGACTCCAGGTAGATACTTGCACTGGCGGGAGGGGTGTGGCATCCCCTAAAAGCTTTTTCGCCGTCGCCACATATGCGGCTCGTCAGAGGGGTTAATAGTTCCTGCAAAAACACACAAGTCACATCCATCCAGCAGGAGCACATACAAACAGGCATAGCCCACATGCAAGTCTAAAGCAGGAACGAGGATGGTATACCGCTTCCTTTGCCGCTTGTGCTTTTCCTTCAGCATCTGGCGTAAGCCATAAGTCCTCGTCAACTCCAGTGGAAAAGTCCCAGTCCGCCATAGTCTCCCAGACCTCCTCCGAATCACTGATTCTCGCTAAGAGTTCGAAATAGCATTGCTACGAGTCCTGATTTTCTTTTCTTTTCTTTTCTTTTCTTTTCTTTCTTTCTTTCTTTTTTTTTTTTTTTTTTTTTTTTTTTTTTT